GGCCAATTTACATGTTTCTCTTTTATTATATAGGATTTTTTTTTTGTTCTGCCATCCATACTTTCTTGATATTGGATGTGGAGGCTGGATGCAAGTCCTCCTTGCACATGAAATTGGCGAAGGATTTCCCCATCTTGAAGGCTGAGCTGGAGAAAGCAGCTGCTAGGTCTGAGAGCAACATAAACAAACTGTATAAAATGTCAATACCACAGAATGTTCAGATGAAATGGCAAATTCCTACTCTCATGGGATGATGGTTGTCCATATAACCCACGCTCTCTATAAGAGGCATCTGGGTTTTTCTAAAGGTATCGATTTGATTAATGCACAGGTTTGGTTCAAACAGATGGCAATACTTTTTGGTTAGTGGTTAATTTCTGTCATTCCCCAGTGCCACCTCCAGTTCAGGCACCTTTAGCCTTGACTTTAAAGATACACACTTGGCAGTTATGGAGGATAAAAGAATCTGGTATATTTTTCTTTTACCATTAAGAATTTGGTAAAAGAATAGCAGTTATTTTAGAATAGCAGTTTTCAAACCCATGTACAGTTCTTAAAAATTATCAAGAAACCCAGCCTGGCCAGTGTGGTTCAGTGGTTGAACATTGACCTATAAACCAGAAGGTCATGGGTTCAATTCCTGGTCAGGGCACATGCTCATGTTGTGGGTTCATTCCCCGGTGTTGGGCATGCAGGAGGTAGCCGATTAATGATTCTCTCTCATCATTGATGTTTCTATCCTTTTCTCTTCCTCTTTGAAATCAATAAAAATATATTTTAAAAATTATCAAGAAACCCAAAGAGTAGGAGCGTTTTGTCAGGAACCAGGAACAAAGACCAAATATTAGAACAAGGGATGATCCTATCACCCCTATCATTTGGGACTTTACAAAGGTTTTAGAAGTCTCAGTCATGAACTGGAGAAAAGGCCAGATATATATTTCTTATTTTGCCACAATCAGTCTATCAGTATACCAATTTTTTAAAAAAAGATTGTTAGTATGACCACTGATTTCATCAGAAAAATCTTTAAATATTGGGCGGTTGTCAAACTCATAGTGGCAGGTGCAGGTTTTTCAAAAATTTGAATTTTCACTTGGAAGTCTGAATTTTACCATTGGCGACAAACACTCTCAGTTGTTTTCCTTGAAATGATAGGCTCATTTCATTCATTTGGGAGAAAATGACTGCCAAATACCCATGTTTGTGGAATCAGTTTGTCAGTTCTTTCAAGTAAAATGGTGATGTTCCATTAAAAAAAGCAGCTAGCTGTTTTGCATTGCAAACCATCGCCCAAGAGCGTTGCCTCCTGACAACCACCACACCTGGGTATGCAGGAGTGCTCTGTGCACTTTCCCTTCCATTCTGAAGGGAACTTCCTTCTGTGACACTTTGGTATGTTTGTTTTTACTTTAAGTGTATGGTGGTGACTACCAAGTCAATTTTGTTCCACTGCTTGGATTCATGCTAAGTCACCATGACTTTTGCACCATCAGAGCAAATACCTGTATAGTGAAGACAACTAACATTCTAGTATTATTGTGAAAGTATGTTTTTTTTGTTTGTTTTTTCACTTTTGTTCCCTTGCATTCAGGGAATTTTTTTTTTATTTCAAGAAAAACAATCTTAGTATAATAATGTTACATGCAATAAACATTAATATTTCAAGAAAAACGATTTTAAATATAACATTACATGCAATAAAAATTAATATTTCAAGAAAAAAGACTTAAAATATAATATTACCAAAACTATACTAACATAGTATAATATCACAAAAGTTGTAGGAATAGGAAATATTAAAAATCTGCAAATAACAGGATTACTTTTATTATATTCTAAAATATATTTTTTTCTCTGGCTCTATTTTGGTTCATCAGTTTATGTTGTTCATTATATTTCACAAATGAGTGAGATCATGTGATATTTATCTTTCTCCGACTGGCTTATTTCACTTAGCATAATGCTCTCCAGGTCCATCCATGCTGTTGCAAAAGGTAAGAGTCCCTTCTTTTTTACAGCAGCGTAGTGTTCCATTGTGTAGATGTACCATTGTTTTTAATCCACTCATCTGCTGATGGGCACTTAGGCTGTTTCCAA